GCACCTGTAAGCCTTTGGCTGTAAAGAACCCTTTAGTTTGAGATATATAGGTTCAGAAATTGCTGATGGACTTGATGCTTGCATGGGCCTTTCCTGCTCTGCACAGAGTCCAAAAATCAGAAAGAGTAGAAAAAATGTATGAGGATTGGGAGAGAAAGCAGCAGCATCAAAATTGTCATAGAAAGTTTGATATGAACAGTTACACAGAGTAAATAAGAACTTGGCTGCTTCAGTGCATTTTTTTAATCTATTATTCACTAACCCAGTATTAAGTCATGTTCCTAGAAATGTTCTTATGAATATCTTATTATCAAAAAAGGCGGGGTTTATTGCTATTGTGTACTTCTTGATGTTCTGTTCCAGGACCCGTTTCTCTTTGACACCGTATATTTCTCTTAAAAATGTATTTCTCCCAATCTTCAGCTACAGAATTATATTTCCTGTACCTATTTCTCTTGGCCACTTCTCCTGCCTTCAAGAGACTAGGAGACAGCTGCTCTACTTGCTGAAATGGACATTTTCACCACAGACCAAAATCACTGACGGGCTGACAAACGCCTCACAGAATAAATTTTACCCTCAAAATAGCTCTCCGAGACAGAGAAATCATATTGCAGACTAGGAAATTATGCTGGGGCTAACCCACTTGATTCACAAAGCAATGGAAAAACACTCTGAACAAGCACCAGAGTAACCTAAGCTGTGTGGTCTCTACTTTGTGCAGACAGTTGAACCTAAATTATTCTATGATATTATGACTTAGTGAATTAGAAATTCAATTTATAACTTATTTTTTTTTCCTCCTCTCTGAATTCTCTAGCTCTTTGTAAAGAATCACAACCAAACACTAAAATATCCTGATATATTACTGACTTTTATGGCTCTAGGAATTTTCCTTATGACCCTACAACAATTACGGGTGAGCTTTTACAATGCAAGTTATTTAGGTTCTTTAAAAAGCCATCAATGGAGCTGTAGACAACATAGTAAAGTGCATTGGCAGTGTAAGTCAGTTCAGCTTCCTGATAAGACAGCATACCATGAAAACTGTGCAAAGAAAGGACTATATATACCTGAACACAGGCAATATGAGTTTGATCGTGGTAAGAAGACACATTCAATACAATATCTCCCCCTACAATGTTAAACTCATTTGTTGCCTTCATGTCCTGTAGGTACTTTCAAACAGTCAAACACAATCCATATGGATGTACATGTGAAAGCCTCATTCAACCAGTGAAAGGCCAGGTGTTTAGAGCATCTTTTCCAAACAAGAATTAAAAATACCAGTGTGAGAAAAATATAGATGTGTGAGAGATGTGGTATCTACCCTTGATCTTTGCAGTTTATTGTATCTTGTAATGAAGCTCTCTCTTCTTAACAGTTTCAGCTGGTACTATCGACTGCTAAGCAACACAAAATGCAGAAAGGACAAAATGCAGTATTTTTATTTTTCAGTTATCATACAAATTTTTATTCAGGATTGATATAAAGTGGAAGATTTTTATGTTTAAGAACATCTACATCTGCTTCTAGTAATCATCCATTGTAAACCTGTGACTCTAGTCATCCATAAATAATACATTCCACGGAGTGTAAGAAACTCAGCTGGTAAACGGGCTGTTTGGGAGCACAAGAGACTTGCCTTTCAAAAAGGCTAAATATTTTAGAACTAAATGGAAATCTCAGTTTTTCAATTTTGCTTCCCTATAAACCTGCTCTCTGCTTATTAATAACGGCTGGAAACTGCCATAGGCAAGAAATCTCATACTGGTATTTGATACAGATAAAAATCTGCAAGATGCTTATAAAGTATATGACTTGAATCATTTGAGTACTTCAACAAACAGCTCTCATTTCTTTCCAATTGCATTTTTATGCTTCCTTCCTTCTTGTTTACTTACCCTTTCATCTTTTTTGCTTTCTTATCTTTTCTTTATCTCTCCCATAATCTCATATACACATATCTACAAACCGCCCCCTGTAGAAGTTTTAAATTATTTTGTTTCTTTTTACTTTCCTACAAGTCCCACCAGGCTCTGACCCTACTCCTGTATATTCCTGCCCACAGCTTACTCATAAATATTCAGTTCTTTTTGCCATCATTGCTGGCTTTTCTTCTCTGAAACAAGCATTTCTGAATAGTATTTTTCACTTCAAAGATCTTCCCTGTCCTTCAGATGCCTTGACTCTTCCCTTGGCAGTCATATTCACACATTGCTACTCTTATCAATCTCTTTCTTTACCTCTGTCATTTCCCTCTCTCCCTCAAACATGCTAACAAATACTCAGGTGCTTCTCTTCCCCACCATTCTATTAATACCATTGCTTTTCTTCTTTCTTCTTCTAAGGGACAGAGTGTAAAGGAAGGAGGTACTTGTACTTATGGACCCATGCTTTTCACAGTAAATAGACACAGCAGTCCTCACAGGGCAGATTGAATGAAATTCCAGTTGCAGTAACGTACTTATTTCTATTTCTGTGTATCACACTACTGGCAGACTCTACAAAATGCACCAGCAAAACCAGAGCTAGCGCTCGCTGAGAGTACAAACAAGAAGGAGGTCCCTTAGAAGAGAAAAAACAAAAGGGACAGTATACAGTTAGTGTTTCTTTTACACCAGTTACAGTGATTAATTCATAGAGTAACAAAAGGAAAATAATTTACTGATGTACTAGAAGCAAAAAATTTACTAGATCTCATAATACAATCCACTGACAAGGAGTGGAGAGAGGATAGCTATAATATTCTTGCCTATCAAACCTCTGTATGGAAGAGATTCCACACTCCCACTAGGTATCTTTTTCCAAATGCTACTACCACCACAATTTAGAAAGTTTTTTCTAGCACTGAATCTGAACTTTCTGAATAATTTAGTTGATTCATTTTTTCCTTCATCCCAAGTACAGGAAGAACAAAATATGTCCTTTTCACAGCAACACTTTCCATATAAAGAGACTTCTCAGACTAAATAAATGGTGTTCTTTCAACTTCTATACATACGTCTTACTTTCTACGTTTTAATATTTTGTTACTTTCCTCTGGAGTGTCTTTGAGACCAACACACTTGCCTTCATCAATCCCTAGCAGAAAAAGTTTATCCTGTCAGATGTACTGCACACCTATTAATACACTGCACAATGAGGCTGTCTTGTACCGGCAGCACACTGCTGACTCATTTACAGTCCATTACAGCCCCCAGATTCTCTCACGAAGTGCTGCTGTTTTACCCGTATCCTTTTGATTACTCTTTTTGATTTTTCTTCCCAAATGTAATTTGCATTTGTCAGCATTACATTTCCTCCTGATGGTTCCAAGACATTTCTTCAATTTGTTAAGATAATTTTGACTTCGATATTGGCCACCAAATTACCAACTTGACAATTGCTTATTTTTTTTTTCAGTAAGCCTGCTCTCTTTTTTTCTTTCCATTAATGTTGTGGATCATTCCACCTTCCTTTGCCTGGGTAACATACAAAAATTAAATAAACTGTCACATTAACCATAAAATCACTGCAGGAGTATTTTATCTACCATAATCACAAGGCATTTTAAACGTCACAATGTCCAGCATAAAGTTGGTCTATGCTATAGACACTTCACACATTGTTTTCCCTCAAATATATGACCATATATTTGGACGCAGTAAAATGGATTTCCAGTCAATCCAATACCCAGATTTTGTCCGGTTTGTTTATATCAGTGCTAAGTACCCTATCGTGACCTCACTTTCTGCGAGCTTTGTCAGCAGTGACTGGATTTTCTTCCGAGACGCGGAAAGAACTCCCTCCGGAACACCCCGATGACTGTGCGATGACCCTTCCCCACCAAGGGCTCATTTCGGGCAACTCCACCTCCGCCGTCCAACCACGCTGACGTGCCGCTTAAGCTACGCGCTCCTCCGCCGCCGCGCTCCGTCTCGGTGCCTGCCAACCTGCCTCCCAGCCCCACGGCCGGGCTGCTAGGCTTGCTCTGCTAAAGCGGGCCGCCCCGGGACTGGG